ATGGTTGTCTGGACTAGTCAACAATGTAAGCTAGCCAGTTGGCTATCCAGTTGAGCTGAGCACGCAAAGTATTTGAGATCTCGAACGACCACTGAATATGACGTCAGCCTCAAACATACAAAGTTGAGACTAGACGAGGATCTTTGATTATGTGCCCCGATATGCTAAAGCCCACATTTAAACGAACTAGCGCAAATTTTAGCAGATAGAATTTCAATCAGAATAGGACACCATAGTCTGAAAAAATAATACCTATTTTTAAAAAAATAATACCTCTAAACCAAATTAAACACTTTTTAATGGCCTTAAATTTGGCAATTTTGATTAATCACTTTTTAATACGTTTTAAAACCCCGCGGACACCCTGGAGTCACTTACCTGAGAGTTTGGCTGCAGTCCAATGTGAGCTGTGGAGGTCCTCTGCAGATTCTCCAGCATCAGAGCCTGTTATTAGGACAAAAGAGCCTGTTATTAGGACAAAGGCCTTTATTCATTCAGTGTAAATAACATACATGTATTTTTTCCAGAACTGTTAGAGTGTCAGAGTGTTTTTGAACGATAATATCTGGGTCATTTATGCCAACTAGGCTGTCATCACCCAGACATCACCCAATGTTTCTGTCGTTCACAAACATTCATCACCTCTCATCTGTCTCTCATCCTTAAGCATTTTAGATTTGGAGAATGTTGCCTTTTATAGAGTTTACAGTAGAGAGCAACCAAACACTATTTGAGAAAAGGAGAGAGTGACATACAGCAATGTTCACTGTTCAGAAGCAAACAAGTAACAAGGTAAAATTTGTAAGGTTCAATCTGACCCTACTGAGAAAGGCAACCCACTGCCCTGGTGGGAAGCAAACCAGACTGATAATAATGAGAGAAGAGTTGCAAGCAGAAGCTGCAGGACCTAACTCAGTTTATCATCATCACATATCTCTGTCATGACACTCACTGTCAGCCATACAACTTGTACTCTGCTACTTAAATTATGTCACCCTGCAATCTATACACAAGGATGTAAAAAAGTGGAATCCTGAATAATGGTATAAACTCAGAACATCTTGGGAAACGGATCAAAGCAGTAAACAACATATGCGACTACTACATTAGTTAAATCTACATTTCCATACTGCTTTTCTGTGTTACTATTTTGATATATAATCTAAATCTCATGCAGTGTAACACCACCACTTAGATTTATGATGCCTAATACATATGTAATAATGAAGACGTCACTTTTCAAAGTAATTCACTTGCATTTGATGCCAAATGCATAAACTGTATACAACTGTGCAATTAAAATTTCATGCGGATTTAACATGGATTTTGAGAGTGCATAAGCTGCTAACAGACAACATTGAAACAAGTTAAAAGTCTTTAAATAAATAACTCTGTGTTCAGATTTCACAAGTGAGATTGGGATTACATAAGGCTACAATAAAACAAAAACGTTTAACAAACAATATAACCATTTGCTGCGTTCGCTGCGGAATTCAGTAGACAAATGGTAACCGGATTACCAATTTAAAAAACGAAATGAACGCACACACTTTCGTGGCAGACTAACGTTAGATATGGCTGAAGACCTGTCACAATGTAAACAAACTGGCCGAAGCACGACCACGGACCTGGACCTAACCTTACTTTTTTGAGCAGAAGTAACGTTATTCCTCAATTTGTTTGAACTTAGCAACACTGTTATAACAATAAACTACACGAACGGTCCTTACACATTTGGTGGTAGCTAACTGATATAAATTGGTACTAAATAACCGGTGTAATGTTAGTTAACCTTCTGGCTACAAACACGCGTACGTCAACAGTGCTTGGGACATACAGTCAACGGTAACACGGCAGCAAGCCAATCGCTAAGGCCACGGCTTAACTAACAGCATTAGGCAGGAAGCTAGCGAGCTAGCGAGCCAACAGGACAACATTACCCCATCGCACACTTTGATATTAGCCACTAACTTAACTGAACTACCTGTCTTGTTATAGATTGTATATTTATGGATGAGGAACACACGGCTCACCACAGTGTAACAAGTTAGCGCAAACAAACACATTTTCACCTGACCAGTGGTGAACAATCTCAATAATTCTAATACAGCTCTGCAGTTAGCGAGTCAGTTGTCGGCCCTCGGGATAGCATCAGCCCGTCTCACCGTTAACGTTATCTCTCATCAACCATGGTCCCGTATTTAGCAGCAGAACTCACCCCCTTGAGTCTTTTAATGAGCGTATTCTTCTGTCCGCTTTTCGAGAGTCCTCTCTCCTCAAGAGCAGCTTTTAAGTCTGCTACTCGAAGGGACTGGAGCGGTCTCCCGTCCAGCGTAACGTCTTCGAGGTCCGCCATTTTCCGTTCCTCTAGTCAGTTCCCAGTGAGAGCGACGAGCAACACCTTCCTCCACCCAGTGTCATCAGCGACGACTTCCTCTAATACAATATCAAATAAACAAGATGATTCTCTGTGCTTTAAAAACAAACAAAATACAACCGAATACAATTAAATGTAATTGTTATATATATTACACAATAATTGTGCTTTCAATTAATTTTATTTGGTAAAGGATAAATGTTGCGCAAAATATGCGCAAGCTTGATTTCCTACAAAAGCTAATTTACATCCATGCGTAGTCTTCCTGTATTTGTTAGCATGATTAGGTCAACTCTCGCTCCACTTCAGAGGAAATAATTAACGCGACAGTTAAAGAAGATGGTTACACACATTGATGTTAAGAATAGTTAACGTTAATTGTGATGCTTATTTTAAATTCATACTAGTAAAGTGTCATCGCTTACATATCATATAGGTTATGCTAAGCCCTACAACGTCACCGAAACTAAAGGTAACGTTATAACCTAGCAAAAATTAACTTACAGCAGAAGAGTAGCTAGTTTTCTTATGCTGAAACAAACGTGTATTTCCAAAAGTGCCTTAGTTCAGCCATGTCAGTAAGTGCTTAAACCAGAAAGAGCAACCCACGGAGAGCCACAGACATCGTAGCATTCACTACTCCTGGCTCATCGACCATGTCAACACAACCCTGGACCAGTGTTTCTGGCTGCTGCACTCCCAGCCCAGACGACTTTCCATCAGTCCCCCAGGTAGTCTGCACCCCCAGCCCAGAGAACCTGTCCTCCGCGTCTCTGATTCCGTGTCAAAGGGAGCTGGAGCCCACCTCCTATGTAACCCTCCAGGAGCAGCGGTGCGTCCTGAGTTGGTTCCAGGGCTGGACCGCCACGCAGAGGGAGCGATTCCTGCAAGACCTGCTGGGGAAAGCTGTTCCAGGGAAAGTGTACACCCTTCTAGATTCACTCAGTTCTCTTCAGGTAAGTTCTGCACTGTCACTTCTAAACAGATGGTCCAGAATGTGATAAACCATTCCTAAAATGTAATAACTGTTTTCTCTTTTTCTGTATCGATAAGGTTAAAGACCGACTACCAAACATCTTTGAATGCCAGCTGCGCCTGTGGACCCAGTGGTTTGAGTCTTGGGGAGAAGATGAGAGGAACCACTTCCTACACATGCTAGAGGAACAGGATCCCACGTTTGTTGCCCACTTCTACAACAGTGTAGCCAGTACAGCAGGAAAAGACTGAGCAGTGGTTGCATTGCGATTGAAAACCAAATGACTATTTTTAAAGTGTTTAAGAGGTGACATGTGGTGGGAAATGTCTATCAGATCTAAGACAGTTCTTTTTCTTTTTCAGAGAAATGTTTGTGTGACTGTGATGGGACTTTCTGAAGAACACATTTGGTATAAGCTGTTTCTGTTGTTTTATCCACCTGTTTGTCCAGGGCAGCACCACACATTTCACTTTATATAAAAAGTTCAGAACTTTTTTTTTTTAATCATCATGGATGTAGCTCTGCCATTTATTGACCAGATGATGTTAACTTAAAATAGATTACCATTATTCTGTTCTGTACTGGGCCTATACACCTGGGATGACAGAGACAAATGGACAAACAAACTTTAAATATAGAAAAATAAACAAAATGCACAGTTGTATATTTGCCATGTTTTTATTGAATGGAACATTCAACCGCAGTAATAACAAGTATGTGTTAGAACTATTCTGCATTCACAGTGACTGTTTTGCTACCTATCAAGATACATGTACATGTACATACATGGCTAAGATTTGTTAGACAGGACAAACTAGTCATCCATCCAATATCTATACTACTTATCTTGAAGAGATCGTGGGAGGGCTGGAGCCAATCCCAGCTGACATTAGGTAAGAGGCAGGGTACTAACTAATCAACCTAAGATGCATGTCTTTGGACTGTGAGAGTAAGCCGGAGTACCTGGAGAGAACCCATGCAGGCACAGGGAGAACATGCAAACTCCACACAGAAAGGCTCCAGGTTGGCTGGAGCTCACACAGTTCACTGAGTTATCCAGTCAGTTGATCCAGGAGGAAGTAAAGTTATTGGAGCCTGATTTTCAACATCCTCAACACAAAAATTGATAAATGGGTAGATTTTTTCTGTAAACGTCTCACCTACAAATGAGTACATATGAGATCTGTCAGAAGCATCATAAAAGGAGATCTGTCCCTTTTTGTAGTCCAGCAGAATACCCAGCGTATTAGGCTGCATCTTAACTGGAATAATAGCAGGTCTTCTATCAACAGCTCGGTACTGGCCTTGTTTGTTCAGAATTATAGTCCAGTACCCCTTCGCTGGATTGAAAAGTATTGTTCCCTTTCTTGGAGCAGATTCACTGGCCATCCCAATGTGGTAACAAATCTTCCCAGCTACAGACACTTCCCAGTAATGTCTTCCACTTGAGAAGCCAGGTGTACCCAGGACAGCAAGAACCACGTCAAACCGGCCTGGATTATCGGGGACATTCTGTATTTCATCAGTAGGGGACATCTGAGTGTTATCTGCAGACAGAACTATTCTTGGGTGTGCTGTGTTTGGATCGAAGGTCATCTTCTCTGTAAACAGAGAAATATAGTGAATCATGTCACATTTTCAAAGGAAACTAAAATAAAAAAAATTTAAAAGAGCAGTCCATAGATTTAATACATCACTTCCTTAACACTGGACAAGACACCAAAGACATGGCAAAAACTGAAAGAGCACAGGTTCAAATATCCAGACTTTTAGTACTTAGCATGAGTAAAACTCAAAAAAGTGGATTTCCTATATTTCCCATAAGGCAGCAGTTGGATAGCACATTTTCATTAGACCTGGTAAAGCTCTACAATTTACAAACTCCACGGCTCCAGTTGTAAGCCTTTCTGTTATGCATTTTTAACCTCCAAGCTCAGGGTGACATAACCCTGATGATCCCATACCCAAGAAATCTCTACAGAAGACACTGTCCAACCGTTTCCCAGTAGAACTAATCATAACGAGTTAACTGACCTTAATGCGTAAAGTTAGTGGAGTGTCCCATTAAAGTCAAACATATGGTTAGATTTACTATAGCCTGTGTGTCTCTGAACATTTATCAGTAGTATTTAAATGCTAACACTAAATACACATGTCAAAGAATGTGCAGACAGACAAATTGCAAGAACTGTAATGAACTCTTGTGTGTGACTCACTGGTGTGGATTGTGCGTGCTTCCTCCTCATCTCTTTTTGTTTGAAGTTCTTGTACAGTTTCCTCAAGTTCGTTCTTCTCATTTTGCAGCTCTAGTATTGACACAGAAAAGACGGCAAGACATATATTTTAATCGAGAATCACAAGAGCAGCTACTCTGCTATACTGAATGAATCCAGTTCTTATGTTTATGAACAGTTCCAGAAGGTTGAACTTACTGTTGTAGTCATCCTGTATTTTCTTCTTCTCTGTGATCTGATTTTCTAAGTTCTGCTGCAACTGGTTGAACCTGGCATCTTTCTCACGCAGCTGCTCCTGGAGGTTATCGGCATTGTCCTGGGTCTGCTGCAGTTGGCTCTCCATGTCTATTTGATAAAAGAATATTCTAAAAACCATATCAAAGGTACACGTCCTACCATTACACTGGTTGCTATTACCTTTCCTCTGTTATAAACAGACTAAATCAAATTATTTCATGTATGAGCAGAGAGGTGCATTTACTTTTGTAATCCTGCTGTAGTTTGTTAGTCATCTGGGACTGTTTCTTCAACTCGTCTTGCAGGTTTTTGAGAGTATCATCTCTTTCTTGCTGCTGCAGCAGCAGGCGATCCATATCCTCCTGACTTTGCTGCAGCTGTTTTTGTATATCTGTTTGAGGAAATATTCAGTTCAAAAACTACATCAACCACTGGATCTCAGGGAAAAATAATCATAAGGTGATACTGAGGATCTCACCTTCACACTTGGTGCTGGCATCATTGCAGCACATTCTCAGGTTTCTGGCCTCTTGGCTTAAGTCTGACAGAGGAGATTGAAACAGACTTATCAAAAACCGAACAGCAGAGGGCAAGTTTTAAGGAAGTAATTTTCTCTTTATTGCTGAGAATTAGAAAAGCATGTATGTATGCTAAATAAGAAGATGCAGCTCATTAGCGTATCTTGGCAACAGACTAAAATAGGTGGGAAGCAGCTCACCTGGCTGTCCATCAACCTGTACCTCTAAAGCTAACTAATTAACATATCAGCTGTGCTTTATCTGTAGAAGAACCTGCGTGTAAATGTATTGTACTCACCTTTATTTGTGTTTTCAAGTTTTTTGTTCTCTTGTTGTTGTGTTTGAAGCTGTTGTTCCAATTCTGAAAGCAAAGACAAAAAACTAATAAAGGCTGTGTAAAAAGCCAATTTTATATTTTTCAGTGTGTCCAGATAGAAAGGAAAGAGGAAGGCTACATGATGTTTGTTTTAGAAAACACAAAAAAAAGACATGTTACCTTGGAAACATTTATAACATCTATTGTGACATGTACAGTAAGAAATAATTGCTGGATAACAACTGGAAACACAATAGTAGGAAAGTAACAGAGTGACAAACCGTTGATATTTTTTTTAACAGCTTTGGATGCCTGATGCTGTGCCCTTCTCAGTTGTTCCCTCAGATCAGCGATCTCCATTACTAGCAGAGACACAATGTTATTTTGTGCTGAAAGAAAGCAACCAACATCACACAAAATTTTAGCAAATAAGTAGTGGTCATACTCGACTTAAAATGCTTTTCATCTGCTTTCTTGAGTCGAAGTTCACTGTCTTGCAGTTGCTTCGTTTTCAAATTCATTCTCCGCTCAAACTCTGAAAGTAATGTAGAGATTGATGGAACATAAAAACATGATATCAAAATCTGTGTATGCAGTACTTTATGGCATATTACAATGAAAACTGTCACATTTTGTTATTTACCTGCAAGGTCTTCAGCATGTGTTTCTTTGAGGTATGAAATTTCATCTTCCAGTGGTTTGATTTTCAGGTTAAGTTCAACAATTTGAGCCGCTAAAGACAACAAAGCAAGTTATTTTTAGTATATTAAAGATAATAAATAGTACAACTCTATTTTTACTCTCACCAAAGCTGAGCACACTTACACAGATTAACAATCCACACGTGACTTGATTCCAGCTGCTGTGTTTTTTCATGGATCTGTTTTCTGACATCATCCAGTTCATCTTGCAGGCCTTCAAGAACAGAATGGATGTTTCATTTTCACATGTTTGAAAAAGTATTTAGAACAAATCTGAGGATAACCTTGTGTGTCCTACCTTTAATTTTCTCTGCATAAGCTTTGTTCTGACTCTCTTCTTGTTTCTTCAGTATTGCTACTTCCGCCTGTTGAGCTATAAGCTGGAATGCTAACAGAAAAATGGTTAGATTAGATAAACTCACTGTGTACAAGATGGTGACCAACAATGGCAGAACCATTTCAATTAACTGTTATTTTGGTGCTAACTCACTCAGTTTGGTATTTTCGTATTTTTCATCTTCAATTCCATCAATTAATTCATTCATCTGCTTTTGGAGATCTGCAGACGAGTTATAGAGATTATTTCACAAAAGACATATTTGTGAAATACATATTTATTTTATTACTTCAGCTTAGCGGGTATAGAGTGTTATTGATCTGGAGTCCTTAGAGTATGTAGGCGAGATATGTTTTTGTCACTCACGTGCAATCTTATAGTAATCTGTGTTGTTTACTGCCACATTCACATATTTCTCGATCTCTTTTTGTAGTATAATAATCTGCAGAACTAGAAGAAGAGTTACATGTCATTGTTTTAGCATGTGTCATTTCCCAAGCTGAACAAACAAACCAATCAATAGAAACAAGACTTGATTCCAGCTGCTGTGTTTTTTCATGGATCTGTTTTCTGACATCATCCAGTTCATCTTGCAGGCCTTCAAGAACAGAATGGATGTTTCATTTTCACATGTTTGAAAAAGTATTTAGAACAAATCTGAGGATAACCTTGTGTGTCCTACCTTTAATTTTCTCTGCATAAGCTTTGTTCTGACTCTCTTCTTGTTTCTTCAGTATTGCTACTTCATCCTGTTGAGCTATAAGCTGGAATGCTAACAGAAAAATGGTTAGATTAGATAAACTCACTGTGTACAAGATGGTGACCAACAATGGCAGAACCATTTCAATTAACTGTTATTTTGATGCTAACTCACTCAGTCTGGTATTTTCGTCTTTTTCATCTTCAATTCCATCAATTAATTCATTCACCTGATCTTGGAAACCTGCAGACGAGTTATAGAGATTATTTCACAAAAGACCTATTTTATTTATTTTATTACTTCAGCTTAGCGGGTATAGAGTGTTATTGATCTGGAGTCCTTAGAGTATGTAGGCGAGATATGTTTTTGTCACTCACGTGCAATCTTATAGTAATCTGTGTTGTTTACTGCCACATTCACATATTTCTCGATCTCTTTTTGTAGTATAATAATCTGCAGAACTAGAAGAAGAGTTACATGTCATTGTTTTAGCATGTGTCATTTCCCAAGCTGAACAAACAAACCAATCAATAGAAACAATATGTTCTACTCACATCTTTGTGCTTGACCACTTTTGTTTTCCAGCTGCTCGGTTCTTGTGGCCAGCTCAGTGCTCTTTTCATCTATCAATTTCTGAAGCTCTGAAGAGCAAAGACAAAACTATGTTTAAGCTTGTAGGCCCTGACTCGTCATGCCTCAATAAGATAATTGTTTAGTTGTTTCTCTGTCACTAAGCACCACGGTGAAATACACTGACCTGCTATCCTGGCTGTGGAGTTAGTGTTTTGCAGTTCTTTCTTATACTCTTCCACTTGCTGGGTTAATGTATAAACATGAAGAGCTGAAAGAATAAGATATTTTAAAAAAGTAAGAATAAAGAATAATATTGAAATAATTTTTCAAAAAAAAGAATTGCCCATATTCACACCCACAATCAGCTGTAGTTATAAATGCAAAATGTTTTCCAAGCTCATCAAAGCACAGATTTTTGACCTCAGATCACATGGCCCATATGCCCAAACCGTGGGATATCAACTACAGATTATTGTGCATAGGTTAAGTGAAGGATAAGGTTAAAGGTTAAATATTACTATATTACTGCCACTGTCCCTGTCAGTGCTCCTGTTGCTGCCTTGCGTTTGTTTCCTTTTGTAGGCTGCCTTCAGGTAGAGACAGGCAGAGCCAACTAACCCGATGTCTTTGACCTTGGCAGCATGCAGCCACCGCTGACTTACAGACTACAGATCTATCTATTATGCTGCCTTTGTCTTAGTTTCAGATACAGTCTTTGTCTCTGAAATGTGTATAAAACCCCCCAGATTTATGTTTTCCATACTTTTTTCCCAGGACCCAGAGAGATTAATTCTCATGGCCTATGTAAAACACAATGTACAATAAAGTGGACTTACATTCACATATAGGTGGGCAGGGAAACTGAAGAGGCCAGAAATGATATCTGGTAATAGGTGAATCTTACCCAGACTGAGTAAAACTGCAACAGCTCCAGCACTCACCAATTGTAGTAACGTTGTCAGATTTGGACAGCAGCTCCTTAATTTTGTCATCTAAGGTACTCTGCAGCTCTACAAGGATACATTTATAACAACAGTTCAGTCTACATAGAATAATTTATTAGGCCCAAAACTGTTTTTCTTTAGATGAAAAACAAACAAACATATCTGAGGAGTGTGAAGGATTTAGTTCTAAAATATATGCTTCATTATGATCATCCCATGGCTGTAGTTTTGGTAGTTAATATCTGGTCATTCTGTCTCAGGGTCCCACCAGCAAATAATAAAGGGGAACACTTATTATTCAACCCACAATCACACGGTCATCACCAATCACTGTTATTTCACAGCACTTTATGCAGATGGTAGTATCACACATGAGCTGGAGCTGAATCTGGGCTCTAGAGCTGCTTGGCCCAGTACTAAAGAAAACCTGGCACACCATTGTTGTCTAAACGATTTTGTGTGGTTGGGAAATCCCAGCATATCCTCTCTATATGGAACAAACTCCGAACAATATTAAAAGAGGCTTCTATTTTTAACAGCAATCACTTTAAAATAGGCAATACACCTGTTTCATACACTAGAGTCACAACTGTTTGGCATACTTTCAACCTGTCGGCTATTAGGGACATTAAATAAGTCAACACTCACCTGTAATCTTCTGCCTATATCCGGAACACTCTGCCTCTGTCTGGTTCAATTTATTTTGCAGTGCTAATAAAAAAATATCACATTTGTATTAATCTTTTTGCACTTCTTATTGCAGAAACTTACGTATTCCGGGACTGAACTGACCTTGGATCTGAGCTTGATCATGAATGTGCCTCTGCTCTTTGATCTGCAGCTGTTCTTTCAGCTCTAGAAAAAGTAAGTTATGCTTCAGCTCAGAAGAGGTTACTGCTAATACATGTGTTCACTAACATCCAAGGGAAATAAGACACTCACTTGTAACTGTATCAGATGCTGTTGCATCCACAGTTTGCTTTTCTTCTTCGAGGTTTCTGAGTTGGGTGTTCAGATTACTTATACTCAAAACTGAGGAACACCGAAAGAACATAAGATTCAGGACATTTCAGACATTTCAAATCATTGTCTCAACACCAGACACTATGTTGCCTCTATACTTACTCAATTCGGCATTTTCCTGATTCTTCTTATTCAGCTCAGTAATATAGTTTTGCAGCTCATCCTTCTTGGTTTTAAGATCATTTGTGAGCTCTGAAGCAAATGCAAAGAGGTAAAAGTACAATCAGTTACAGCAGAATATGATGACGTGACAGTATTACAGGCAACCTTAGCATCAGGTCATGAATTACTTGGGATTCGTAACATTTTACTTACTGGTAACCTCAGTGGTTGTTTGCCCCTGGAGGTCTGACAACCGTCTCTGCAGCAGCTCCACTTCACTCTGTAGTTTCATGATTGTCAGCGCTGAAGCACAATACAACAGAGAGGGCAAAAACATAGTTTAACTCCAGAGATATTATAACAGCATCATGAACAAACTGTGCAGGAAAACAACAGCGATTCCTTCATCAGAGGGATGAAAGAAGAAAAGCACAACTTGTCGGTGAACCTTTCTGCTCCTGATTATTTGACACTCACTGAGTTTTGTGCTGTCGTCACCATCTATTTCACTAAGGAATCCATTCAGTCTGGTCTGCAACTCTGGTAAAAACAGAAACAGTGTTTAATGTAGACTATATTTTGATTTGTGAATACATTTTTAAAATAATGTCACTTTGAATTTCATCACTGACATTTAAAATAGACCGACCTTCGATACGTTTACTCGTGGTCCCATTGGTAGCATTTTTCTGAAGGTCCCATATTTCATCCTGCAGCTTAATGATTGTTAAAACTGAAATAAAAAAGCAATGATATTAGCTGAGGCCATTGTCTCAGAAATCTATATTACCAGTAATCTAAGTACTTTATTTATTACTCCATAATTCTTTTACCAACAAAAATCGAGCTTTCTGTTTGATGAATACTAGAAACATTACTTTCAGGTCTTAAGAAAAGTTTAGCTACAGTATGTCAAACTCATCAGCAACAAATCTGATATTTTAGGTGGAGACAAATCTGATGCGGTGTTAGACCCATAAAGATGATGTGAACACCAACGCTACTCCAGGTGATCACTTTGCATCGGTGTTCTTACTTATTTGGGGGTTGGCATACAGTCTCTTAATGTCTGCAGTCTTGGAGTTCAGTTCTGCTTGCTTCCTTTCCAGTTGCTTCTTCAAAACTGTGAGGACACAGAGAGAAGCAGAGATCATTGTATGAGGCAGAAAAATAAATATGACCAAAAAATACCCACTCATTTTTCTTTAAGAGGCACTTTGGTTAAAGCCACACCTGAATGGTAGTGGAGTGAACTCTGCTGTGCTAATTTAATATAGTACCACAAATAAAATCTGTTAATGTTGCTGAGTCATGGAAACAAGTGAAATGTTCTCATTTCACCGGTAAATCTTTATTAGAAAAACTTTAAGGAAAATGATTCTCTTGACTGTTACACACCCAAAATCTTGTCAGGTTCTCCTGTGGAAGCGATCTGGTTCCTCAGAGATGTCAGCTCATTTTGCAGGTTTACTACATTCAGAACTGACCCAGAAAAACAGAGCAAATGTCACCACACAGTCTGTAATTATGAAACAACGAGAAGCTGAGTAGAAGACACCTCTGATGGAGAGACTGTACTCACTGAGTGCCGTTTTGGAGTCTCCAGTTCTGTTCAGTTCTAAAATCTTCTGTTCAAATTCAGTTTTTACCTCTGATAGAAACAGACACGTGCAATAAATCCAAAGTGAAACTCAAACATGAATCATCAGAGCCTTTACCTGAGTCTGATTTCCAACTTACGCTTATATTTTTCCTGAAGTATAGAGCAATTTTGAGTCTGTAATTGCAGGTTCCTCTCCAGTTCTGTTATATACAAGGACAAAGCAACATCACCAAAGGTCTTTCTTCAGAGCAGTCTTACTTATGACAGAGAATAAGGTCAACTCACCTTTGACCTTAGCCTGAGCATTGGCATGTTCCCTTTCTTTGGCTTGAAGCAGATGCATCAGGTCTGATTTAAAACAATGTATTGTTAGCCACTGCTTGTTCTCAGTAACCTAAACATTCTACACCAACTGAACGAAGAGCTGATAACTTACTCTTGATCTCAGCCTGATCATGAATGTGCTGTGCGTTTTTTGCCCTCAGTTGATCTCTCAGCTCTAGAAAAAGTCAAGGTTATCAAAGAGCTCAATGTCATTCAGCGAATCAGTGATCCTAGGTGACAGTGAAATACTTACGAGTAGTTGTTAAATAAAATGTTGTGTTGTCATTGCGCCGTTCATCTTCTAGGCTTCTGAGTTCTTTGTGCAGATTAGTGATTCTCAGAACTGAGGAACACAGAAATGACATAATAAAGATTCACATTTTAGACTGCTTTATTTCTTGATAATAAATACAGCCACTCCTCATTACTTACTCAACAGGGTATTAGTCTGATTCATCTCAGTGAGGTCATTGACATATTTCTCTAGTTCCATTGTCTTAGCTGTAAGCTCATTTTTGAGCCCTGAAACAAATGGAAGAGTTACACAATAAAACACTTTTCTTTGCAGAAAATCAATATACAACTTAACTTTCTCTGTCTGCTGTTAGATAAGCACATCCAAATGCAAGTCATCTGACTGTAAATACTGGCAGACATGGAGTAAAGATTTGAAGATTTGTAAAGGTTTGTTAGAGATACTTACAGGTTACCTGAGTGACTTTTAACGCTTGGAGGTTTGACAACTGTCTCTGCAGCCACTCCACCTGACTCTGTAGTGTTGTGATTTTCAGCACTGAAGCACAACACAGTAGAGAGGGCACAACTGTAGCTTATTTTAAGAGACACTATAATAAGAATGTAAAGGATTCCAGACTTACGCAGTTTTGCGTTTTGATCTCCCGCTCCATCTATTTCAGTGACAAAACGATCCAGTCTGGTTTGCAGCTCTGGGAAGTAGAAAAGCCTCTGAATTATATTTAAGTCAGAAATGACAAAATGTAATTTACTTTAAAATCAAATAATTTTACCCTGAATTATTAAATGGCATTTAAAACAGACTAACCTTTTAGGTGGTTAATTGTGGTTTCATTGGCAGGTTTTGTCTGAAGGTCCCATATCTCATTTTGCAGCTCAATGATTGCTAAGACTGAAATAGACAAGCATGCAGTGAGTTTGTTTATATGGTTAATCAGTCTCACCATTCCAGATAGTTTGCTGCTGTTCACTACAACAATTTGTACCTAGTGTCCTTTGTGTCTCATATTATTATTGCACTCTGCTAGGGGCCACTCTCTATCTCACTGGCCCTACATCTGTCCCCCCAATGTGACTACTGACTCTTGATTGTCTCGATTGTTTTGTGCTCTTAGGGCTAGTGGTACACAAAATTGTTGACAATATCAACTTGCATAATAAAATGATTTAAAATTGTAAAATGTATATTTTAGAAACCACATTAAATGCGTGGTTTCTTCCCTCTGCCCATTTTACCCTGTTATTAATGCCATTTATCAGATTTGAGCTAGTTTTAATTAACCTAATTTCCATTTGTATTTCACTGTCTAATAATGCTTTTGACCATGATTTACAGCAGGTAAAAGACTCTGGGTCACATTCATGAATATGAGAATGTGGGGCCAAGTTGTGCTGCTGCTTCCATGAATTTGTGTTTAATTAGCATGTGAGTTAATAAGACAACAGGCAGATCATGGGACTGCATACCAGGCATTTTCTACAAGAGAAGGACAATTAAGGCACAGTTCTGAGGTGATTAAATCTAAGACCAGAGAGCTATGCTACATGAAAAAAACTGTGACCCACACATACGGTCCAGACCAAAAGGTTGGGATTCTGCTGTATATCATTTCTGCCAAAGACAAATCAAGAGTCAGATCTACAAACTCACTTGTTTTGTGGTTGGAAAGTCCATCAATGTCTCTATTCTTGGAGTCCAGTTCTCTTTGCTTCTCCTCCAGTTTCCTCACTAGCTCTATGGGGAGACCAAGAGAAACAGAGATAATATTGAGTGAATCGCTTTATAGGACAGAGACATTTACTGGGACTTAATGTCGCTCACCTGTGAGCCTTTCTGGGTTTGTTGCTGTAGCGATCTGATCCCTCAGATTCTTCAATTCAATGTGCAGGTTCATTATGTTCAGAACTAACAGAAAAACAGAGCAAACACCATGACATAGTTTATCATTTGAAAACAAACAACAGGAAGTTAGGTTGGTTATGCTGAGAAACTACATGGGAAACTATTCATTTATGATGGAGAGGTTTAAGCTCTAATGTGACTGTTTTACTCACTGGTTGCTGATTTGGAGTCTCCGGTATTCTTGAGCTCTTCAATCTTCTTTTCATATTCAGTTTTTACCTCTGATAGAAACAGACACATGCAATAAATCCAAAGTGAAACTCAAACATGAATCATCAGAGCCTTTACCTGAGTCTGATTTCCAACTTACGCTTGTATTTTTCTGCAAATCCAGAATATTCATCAGTTATTAAACGCAGTTTGTTCTGCAGATCTGTCATTTGGAGAGAGGAAGTCAGTTCATCAAAGTGCTTACAATAAATTGTGCTAAGATGTAAAAAAAAAAAGAAAAGAAAAGATCTTACTTAGAAAATTAGAAATGAATGAAAATGACTCACCCTTTATTTCAGCCTGAGCTTTTTCATAGTCCCTTTGTTTGGCCTGAAGCTGAGCTTGAAGTGCTGATTAGAAACAATGTAATGTCCAGTCAGTTAAAACTGTCACACATATAGAACAAAATGAGATAATTACAGCAAATCATAAAAACATGGTAGAGATATAAAACGGGTGACAAATTAAATGAGCGGTCTGTCCCAGGCTGACAGTGCCCGCAGCCACAGGGCACGAGGGGTCACTGAATTGTTTGATAAGTATGAAAATGATGTGAATCATATGCTGTGGTCTTCACAGTCACCAGAACCCAACTCTGTTGAACACTTATGGAAGTAACAAAACATTAGAATGGTGTTTGTCCCTCCAGTAGAGTTCAGACACTTGGAGAGTCAGTACCAAAGTGCACTGAAGCTGTTCTGGTGGCATCTTACTGAAACACTTCATGTTGGTTCTGCCTTTCATTTGTCACCCATTTGTATGTCTATCCTCTGTAAATATGCATACATATTTGTGGCTGGACCTTAGAGAACAAATGATTTACAGTTATATTAGCTACTTTTCTGCATTAATTCAACAATACAATTAATAGAAAAGGACTCACAGGTGACATAGGAAGTATTCGGTTGTTTCTCATCAATCTTCATCTCTCTCAGCTCTTTCATTATGGTGATGAGTCTCATGACTGGCCAAAGTACAAAAAGCAACTACAATGTTTAGACTTGAACTTGTGGAGGTGATATGTTTTCCAAAGTGAATACATAATACTTTGGAATAAACCTTCATTTTAAGATATAGTTATAATGTATATACCCAGTAATCCTTCCACTGCTGTTTCATACTTATACTTACTCGATTCTGCCTGGGCATAGTCTGTTTGCTGTAGTTGTCTCTGTAAGTTTTCTTGCAGTTTCTTCTCATGCTCCAAAATACTTCTTAGCTCTAAAATTTAAAAAACAGGTATTTATGCTTTTTTTGACTTTGAAGTTAGAAATACTATACAATTTGTTTATAGATCATAATTTAATAATCTCACAATAGAAAAGCACAAGTGTGACTTTTAATTTAATACATTTAAATAAATCAAATTTCATGGAGCTGTTAGGTCATTCACCGTTAAGTTGAGAGTCACTTAAGTTTTTGGCATTTGATATTAATTTTATAAGATGATCCATCTCAGACTGTAGAATCATAATTTCCTTGGCTGTAGAAAAAAAGAGGATATCAAATTATTGCTGCAATAAACAAGAACAACAAGAAGAAACAGCATTTTATTGAGTTGCACACTTACTAAGTTCTGTGTTCTTCTCATCATGACCCAGCTGTACAATCTTTTTTTTAAGGAGATCAAACTTTTGTCTCCTCTGCCTCTCGTAATCTGAAAAAGAAACAAGAATGAGGCCTTTGTGCAGCTCTATAAAACCTGCATGTTCACATATGAAATAAATAGGATCTACAATACAATGAGATCTTAAGACACAGCATATAGCAACTCACCAACAACATTATTTTTGGACCTCTGGAAGTGGACAGTGATGAGCTTCTGTAATGCTGCAATCTTACTGTTCACAAAAATGAGCTCCAGCACTGGAAGAACGACAGAGAATGTGTGTCTGGAAATGTGAGATCCTGATTCCTAAACATTGTTAATTATAAAAGAAGTATGAACAGATGAGGACAGATATACCAGGTGAGTTGGCGTCTCCTTTAGTTTGCAGCTCACTGATCTTCCTCTTCAGTTGTTCTTGTAAATCTGAAAGGGGGTTAAGCAGAGAAGGCATCATAAATAGTTAAACAGAAAAAGATATAAAGTGACATGATATTAAATAAAGTAACTTTCACTAACAGCAGCCAAGTAGGCCTGTGTTGTTTTCAGACAAATGACAATTAAAATGAATTTAGCTAAAAATGATAAGCTATTGATAATAGCACAAATACAGAGGGGTCAGAAGGTCAATGAACTGACACAGCAATGTGATTAATTTATTTAGCAACATTAGACTAAGATTACTTAAAATTAGCTAACAATAGCTACCATAGGTCAGTGGTCACACAGGCTGTAGCAACAAGACCACTGAGTGCACTGAATGGATGAATTCAACTTTTTATTTGTAATAAGAAAATTGTTATATTTCTTCTCTGAAAAATAGTCTTACTTCCAATGTACTGCCTCAGTCATAGACAGGCTATTTTTTATAACTCTAAGTCAAGCAAACAGCAATTTTACCCAGAATTCTCTTGTTCAGCTGAAGACTAGGTTGTCCTGTCCTTGATTCGTCCTGCTCTAAATCCCAGATCTCATTTTGCAGTGAGATGATGTGGAGAACTAAACACACACAGTTAACAGTCAATTCACAACCACTTACTAATGGATAAATGTACTGATAAGGAGCATCAGCTGTTCCATAAATGTGTTGTGAATTTTAGAAATGCCCTTACTGAGTGCTGAGTTTGCGTGGCCCTTTTCAAGTTGCTGTTCCACCATATTACGTTCATTAATTTTCTCTTGCAGTTCCTTCTGCAGCGCTAAAAGACACAAGTTTTGATAAAATACATTTTAATTCAAAGACATTTAGCTGATGCTTAAAATGCCATTCACACAAAAACTCCCAACTAGCTATGAAAATATCAAGCAGTTGGAAAATATTTAAGATGAGATTATAAAAGTTACTGGAGTTCAAGTTTATTGTACTGACAGTAAGAAAAGCTTAATTGTTAAGACTTTGTAGAAGCAAAACAACACTCACGTATGATTTCAGGAGAAGTAGCATTGAGTTTGATCTTCTTTTCTAATGCTTTTATCGTGCTGGCAAGTTGAATCATTTGCAGAACTTGGAAAAAAAACAACAATTCTGTGTTACCATATGATAAGGTCTCCAAAGAAAATGTGACATGTACTGCAAAACAATAAACATTCACAAAGCAAACAACAAAAAAAAGATTTTTAGTCTAAGTCAGGTAAACTTACTCAGAAATGTATCACCAGTAAATGAGTCCATCAGCTGTGTCATTTTCTGGTACATCTGGGTTTGATAAGCTGTCAAGGAATGAAAAATATATCTTCATATATGATTGTGTATCATCTCCACATGTGCCGCATCCTACAGTATATGTAGAGTAGGATTACAGCTATCTTACCAATTTTACAGCCAGAAAATGCTGAGGCTGTCGAACTGCATGTAGAAAGCTGCAATTCCAGCAATCTGACTTTGTTCCTCAACTCAAAGGCTTCCTTGTCTGTCAGAAAAAGTACAGGTTGTATTAGACTGTTAGACCACCAGTCCTAAATAATGATATACCTCAAGTCCTACTAGGAAGAATACTCACCTCTCTGTTGTAAGCTTTTAACTGGTTAAGCTGATTCTTCAGCAGGGCCAGCTGTTCCTCAACACCTGGCAAGGCATGACAGTGATGATGTCAGAAAAGATACAATAGAAGATACAATAGAATGTAATAGTCATTGCTGTCTGTTAGCCCTAATAAATTTTGTGCACTGATGCCAAACCAATGACAAGCTGTATGATTTATTTGATGTATGCACATACTGTATTTTTTAGGTACTATATAGTTATAAAGAACCACTTACCAGTACAGGTTTTGACAGTAATTGTCTGTAGGCAAAAAACATGTCAAATTACTTGAATGAATATAAAAATACACAAGAAAAAAATGCTTTGAATCTTGATGGGTTAGCATATAATAACAAACCACAGGAGATACACATAACCATGGAAAGTTTTCATCACGTACCGTTATATTTATATTCGTGGGATCAAATCCTGGTGGTAGGACTATCTGAGGTACACAAGGTAAGTACGTAAGGTGCATGTAAATATCAGGACTGCTCAAATCATTTTATGAATGTGTTTATTTAATTTGCTAAGTCACAGTTTTGGGGACTCACCGGGATATTCGAAAATAGGTCTTCCACCTTTACATTTTCTTTATCACCACTTAAAATTTTCCCACCCTGAAGGACTGAGAAAACAGAGAAAGAAATCAGTTTTAAAGTTAAAATATTTCCTTTCTATTTTCTGCTTACCAAATGAACAAAATCTTGATGAAATACTGTTCCCTACCATGTCTGTTGTCTGAAGCGTGAAAAACACAGGAGAGAAGCAGAAGGATCTGAATGAAGTGAGAACCTCCTGCCATTGTACTGACTGTCTTCTGTCTTCAAATGTTCTTCCTCTATCAGCAGTCCTACTCCTTTTTATACACCAGTGAATCCTTGTGCTCATTGTCTGGGGGCAACATTCATTTACCATAACAGGAGGAGCAAACCAGAGATAAGCCTAATGGATGAACTTACCTTTCCAGATAAGTTCACCCAAAAAAGACATTGCATCAGATATTTTTGTTTATCATCAGCAAACACTGTGGTATGATTCACAAAGAAATCAGTCAAGGTCAGAGTGACAGTGAGTACTAGAGTGCCATCTAACCAGGTTAGATGAACGACTATAGAATATCGCACTTTATTTTTGCATTTGTAATGTTTAGAAGACAGAATTTTTCTAAGTGCAAACATCTATCTATCTATCTATCTATCTATTCAATTAAATTCAGTTTTATTTGTATAGCACCAAATCATAAAAAAGTCATCTCAGGACACTTTACAGAGTAAGGTCTAGACCGTACTGTTATCAATATTATTACATAGGGAAAATCCAACAAATCCCCTTTGAGCAAGCACTTGGTGACAGTGGGGAGGAAAAACTCCCTTTAACGGAAGAAACCTCCGACAGACCCCGGCTCTTGGTGGGCGGCCTTCTGCCTCGACCGGTTGGGGTGAGTGGATAGAGGAGAGAGGAAAGAAGAAAAGCAACAAGACACAACAAACAATCGAACACTGGTCAAGTTGATGTAGCCGGTGACTGCTCATCAGAAATATAGAGCTCCAGGGCCAGGGCAACCTGCAGAAAGGTACAGGGAGAGAGAGAGGCCACACTACGGGAGAGAGGAGACACAAAGTTAGTAATGTGTAATGGTGGCATATAAAAGCATAGGGAGAGAGAGGAGAGGAGAGGAGTTCTGCACCATGGGACAACCCTCAGCCTATATAACTAAAGGATGTGGAACGTCATGACTAACTTTATTCTGCATGGAAAAATCATCATTAACATGAACAAAATGGAATCTTTCTGATAAGTAAGAATTGAACCAACTTAGTGCAGTTCTTTTAATCCCAACAGTATGTTTTAGTCTCTGCAGTAAGATGCTGTAATCAATGGTGTCAAAAGCAGCACTGAGATCTAAGAGGACAAATATAGAGATGAGTCCTTTGTCTGAGGCTAGGAGGAGATTGTTGGTGACTTTCACCAATGCACTTTTTGTATTATGGTGGACTCAAACAAATCATTCTTGTGCAAGTGGTCACATAACTGCTTAGCAACAGCTTTTCCAAGGATTTTAGAAATAAACAGGAGATTGAATACTATTCAGCTATTTCGGGTATCAAAATGTTCAGCTCTTCAAGCAAATTTATTCTACTATTCTAAAGTTCTCTAAACTTCATACTTTTTAAATATTTAGCTTTATTTTGAAAATCTCACCCCATTCAGATGAATGGGAAAATTCTAATTCAGCATAATTTCAGCTATCAAAATGTCCAGCTCTTGAAGGGCATTTGTGCTTCTCTTCAGAAGTTTTCTAAACTTCATAATTTTAAAATATTTAGCTTTATTTTGAAAATCTTGCCCCATTCAAATGAATGGGAAAATCCTACTTCAGCATTCTTTCAGCTATTTCAGGTATCAAAATGTTCAACTCTTTAGGACATTCATGCTTCTATTCAGAACTTTTGTAAACTTCATACTTATGAAATATTTAGCTTTATTTTGAAAATCTTGCCCCATTCAAATGAATGGGAAAATTTTACTTTAGCATAATTTCAGGTATCAAAATATTGAACTCTTCAAGGACATTCATGCTTCTCTTCAGAATTTTTCTGAACTTCATACTTTTAAAATATTTAGCATTATTTTGAAAATCTTGCCCCATTCAAATGAATGGGGAAATTTTTACTTCTGCATATTTTCAGCTATTAAAATGTTAAGCATAAATGTCAAGGACATTTATGCTTCTCTTCAGACGTTTTCAGGTGTCAAAATGTTCAGCATTTTCAGGGCTATCTTTCAGCACTCAGCATCCATACGCATTTTCTTCAGAAAATGCAATTCTCTAGTTACTTCTGTTCATCTGTTCATGTGCTTCAGTGTTGGCCTGGCAATCTGTACAGTGTATGTGCAAGCTATATACAATATGCATTTCCTGTTACTGTTCATGGTCAATATTCTAATAATTTATAAAATGCACCATAAATAATATATTCTGAACATATATAATTTTGAGAAACCTTTAGTTTTGGAATAATTTTAAATGCATTTAACCCTTTCATGGGCCTGAAGTGCTACTGAATTTCATCTTCACTACAGTAAATCAATAAACCTATTAAAGAAAACACTCACATTTCACAAGTCAGTAAATACTTCAGAGGTGACATGTTTCAGTTTTCTTTGTAATGACCTCATGGTGCTGAATGAGAGGTTTATTCAAACTTTCCAAAATTTTACTGTATAAAATTGCAGTACAATTGGGAAGGGAGATACTGCTTGTATGAGCAAAAAGAACTCTAGGCAGGACCATTTGTCATTGACCTTAATCAAGCTATTTGCCTGATACCTTCAAACCTCCAGGTACGGGAAGGTTACTGCCCACTTCTCCGAGTGATTAGATATCAACACTGACTCTGTGTAAACAAGTGCTCAGCAAATAAAACATTTCAGCATTAGGAAGAGAGATACTGCTTGTATGAGCAAAAACAACTCTAGGCAGGACCATTTGTCATTGACCTTAATCAAGCTATTTGCCTGATACCTTCAAACCTCCAGGTACGGGAAGGTTACTGCCCACTTCTCCGAGTGATTAGATATCAACACTGACTCTGTGTAAACAAGTGCTCAGCAAATAAAACATTTCAGCATCTTGTCAATGACGAATGACAGAAATGTCAACACATAGGCTGAAATCTATTGTTCTTCCAAAAGGCATGAAATGAACACACGGATAAACAGTTGATAGTGGATGGATGGATGGATGCAGGAATGGCTTCCTCTAAAGTTCATGTGGTAATGATTGATTATGGGATGCCAGTAACCAGCACTTTAGAAACCTGTCCAACTAGGAACTGGGTGAATGTTGAGTAACAATTAATTTGTGTGATGCTGTCTCAGTATTAAACTAAAAGTAACAATAAGCTATTCATAATGGTTTCAAATCTAAACGCAATGCAGGGGAAAGGCCGATCCCAACACACAATGGGCCACTGTACAAGCTACACCCTGGACAGTCGGTCATGAGACTACGCATATACAAGGGCACAAAACAAACACAAGCAATTGGAGTTGCAACTTTACATTATGTGCAAGTCTTTGAATTGTGCGGGAAAATTGGAATAACTATAGGAAACCCACAGTCACAGACTTATGAGAAGAGCACCAGCCTCAGTCAGCTGATGCATCTGAACATGACCTTGTGGCTGAAGTGACAGTGCAAACAAGTGAGCTGCCAACCAAAATATAACTCATTGTCTTCTATTAATAATGCAGGAAACATATCTATACATCCCTTTAAACCAATTACTAGTCTCCCAGTAAGCCCTTATTAACCAATCACAAAATATTTAATCAGTGGTCTAAAAACAACAAAGCATGGCACAACATGTGCCCTGTTGCACTTGATAAGTCTTAATGCCAAACCAAAACAAATATTCCACCCACTAACCTGCTAACAGATATAATCATATTGGGAACATTTAACTATGCATACTTGTAGACAAAAACAAAACAAAACAAATATTCCACCCACTAACCTGCTAACAGATATAGTATATTATAGATATAATCATATTGGGAACATTTAACTATGCATACTTTTAGACAAAAACAAAACAAAACAAAACACAGGCTATAATTATAGCAACATTACTATAGCAGCAAAAACAGCACACATTCATGTAGATCAACCAACAGTTTTAAATGATCATTTTATAAATTAATATCAGCTTTGCAAAGTTAACTGTGAAATTAGTGCACATGCAAGCTCAACATACACAGTTTGGTCAGTGAAGCATTAATGACATCATCAGAAATTGTGCACACTGCTAAATATAGGCAGCATAAATCCCAAACCTCCAGCTTGTCTTCTCTATCAAACACAAAAATAACATAATCAAAACTGGCCAAAACACCTTATTTAATTGCACTAGTTAGCTACTACTGTTTATACTGTAAACAAATACTGTAGGTCTTCACAAGAGACTGATTTATGCATGTCTTTAGCGTTGTCTGTTGATATGCAATGAAATCAATATCATCATTCTTACATTTTTGTATAGGAACAACATAAGGATTTTTTATATTAAAAAATAAAATAACAAAAACATGTAAGCCTAAATCACCACAATCAAATAAGACAGACTATAGTCTTATACAAAACCTACAGGATTTCTTAAAATATATACATATGCATATAGGACAGAAAATGGTCAAATAGGATCAGAATTCATTGTAAATTAAATGTAAAATCAAATAAACAGATCAGTGCTAATCTCTCAGTATACACAGAAAGAATTAGTGGCTATTGGGCATTAGAATGGGTAGAAGACCATAAACCATTAAAAGCCCTAATTGGATGAGATTCCTGCAGTTCTTTATTGAGTATTCGATACATCCAGTCAGACCTGAGGCAGGACATAATTCTTGAAATAGCTTGTATGATATTTAGATGCCAGAGGGCTGGAATAGATATTAGGCTATTTCGGATTCCTGCACATATTGGGGTGGAGGGTAATGAACTAGCAGATGAATTTGCAAAAGCTGCACTTAAAAAATACATGTGTATGGCAGTGGGTTATAGTAAAGCTGGGGTTAAGAGTTTAATTAAAATGAACATGAAAGAGAAATGGCAAGAACTACGGGATAAGGAAGGCAAGGGTCGGTTCTATTATACAGAGTGGGCGACAGAAAAGTAGCCTGTGTACTTGAGAGCGTGGCACCATTACTGGAGACAGGCTACTTTTCTGTGGCCCACCCTGTAGTATCCAAAGGAATGTAGGAGAAATGAGAGGAAGTACCAGGAATAGGAAAAAAGAAGATATGATATCAAGACTGAGATTTGGTCATACTGGTTTGAAAAGTACATTAAAATCGATGAAGAAATATCATACAGGGGAATGTGAGTTGTGTATGGTACAGGAAACTGTGGAACATGTTATAATAGTTTGTCCCAGGTTCAGGCAGGAGAGGGGGTTATTTAAAAATATAGTTCAAGGCGCTGGAATGAACTTTAATTTAACAGATGAAAAGAAGCTCAGGAGATTTAGGATACGGGGCACTTCTTAGGTTTTCAAAGAGTACAGGACTGAGTAAAACAATATAATGTGAACTGAGTGAGGTGATTTTATTATAGTAATAGTAGTAGGTCGTTCTGATCCACACTCCAGTCTAGAAGGTGGCGGTAATGCACCTAAAGCTGTTTTTAAAAAACAGAGGAAGAGGAAGAAGAAGAAGAAAAAGAAGACCGCTGGCGGCGCTGTACTCGATCTTTCGTAGGAGTAGGTGAGTTGACGTCATTTCCTGTCGCCATCTTAATTTTTCAGCGAAAACAAGTTTGTCCTTCGAAAAACGGACAAAATTGATATTTTTCGTGTTCTGGACCGGGTGGCTTTTGACTTTTATCTTTAGAAGGGGTTATGGGGATGCGGGAAATGCCTTCAGATTTTGGATGAGTGTTATGAAACAACGGTACAGAGCTAAAATGTTCGGCAAGCTTTAATTTCGAACGGTCTCGGCCGTACTGGCTCTCTACTCTCCCCTCTTACTCTCATGTATGTTAATAATTTACTTGAGAATAATGCAGCTGGGGGTAGTTTACTCCTAAGGACTAGACAAACCAGATCCTGTGCTGTCTGTGTAATAAGGTAGGCGTTTGGTCGTTTTGATGCAGTTGAGCAAATTCTTTAACATTGTGACGTTTTCTTTTGCAACGTATTATGTTAAATAACAGCAGGCTCTCGAGCCAGATACATATGAAGCCTTATTTAACCAAGTCGTATAAACGAGTCGTCGGTTTCTTCCACTAGGCTTTAGTCTTTGCCTTAATATTTCGCGAAGGCTCCTGTTGTTATAAAGAAACAATCTTGTTATAACGACAAGAATTTTGTTTGGATATATAAGCAAATTTGTTGCTCAAATAGGTAAAAAATGTACTGGTAAAAGTTTATTAAGAACAAGAACACCGTGATCTTATGTATTTGTGTGTTGTCATTATAATACCACAATTTTGTGAACATAATTCTGGTGGTATCACTAGCCTATACTGCCAAAGTCAATAGTAAACTTCTTTGTGTAGTATTAACTAGAAGCGACTGTGTTGTATTTCCCTCATATCACATTTAGCCATGGCCTTGATATGAAATTTCATAGCAGGAATATCATTTTGATTTGGGCAACTATATTTTGCCCAAATCTATATTATTTTTCTACGTCAATAATCGTTAACCTTATCACTGATAAATCATTAACCAATGATACCACTCTTACAATATCAGTGTAGATCGATCGCACTTGCATAACAGTGATACAGACTGTGTGTGTGTGTGTGTGTGTGTGTGTGTGTGTGTGTGTATGTGTATGTG